TATATATATTCTAAAGAAGTAAGGGATTTTTTATTTATTAATCCGACAGATTTCTGTCAATTTAAACGTTATTTTTAGTGGATACTCATATTTGAGTAGAAGTCCTGTTTATTCATTAAACAGTATATTTATTTACTTGCGTCTACCGGCCTGAATAATCGAGAAATCTTATTAAAGAAACTATGCACCCTCCAGCAGGATACGAACCTGCGTCCCTCTGAGCAGACAGAGCTACCGTCGTTAAATCCGTCGTGCCTCAACGAAGAAGCTTTGCTGATCCACCAAAATCTGCTTTTATGCAAAATCCTTCTCGTTGCAGACTATTCGAAATTATCATATCTGCTCAGTTCAGTACCCATATTTTTTCCTTAATAAGATCGTCCTGGGTATGACGATGAATTACATCCGGCAGCAAGGCCTCGGATCAGGAGAAGGTTTTGAGGAACCACTTCTTAATTGCCGTTGTTTCCTGGGTCATTCTGATCCGGGAGTTGGTAGGACCTGTTCGTGTCCCAGCAAATAGTGAACACCCAAGAAAAAATAAACAGTGCTTTTTATATAAAAAAACAGTAAAATGACTAACAATACATTTTATAGTAAAATTACCAAAAATACATTGTTTATAAAAAATTACTAAAAATACATTTCTGTAGTGAAAATTGCCAGCAATATATTTTATGATCTACAAACTATATATTTAAACAAGCATAGCTTAAAAATAGAGGATAAAATTACGTACAAAATATTTAGATTTCGGTATCAGTCAGTTATGTGCCATACGTGATACGCGCTTAGGCGATCATGTATCTTTCGATAATTGACAGTCAAGGCAGATTTTTTCCAGCAGTAGGTTGCCATTTCTTTATGCGGTAGACTAATCGCCATCCAAGGCTATAGAATCTTGTCTGCCCTGCTATTTACCCATATCGTGCTTGATCAAATATACAGTCAGTCAGTTATGTGTCATGCGTGATACACGCTTAGGCGATCATGTATCTTTCGATTCATGACTGCAAGGTATATTTTTCCCGCAGTAGGTTGCCATTTCTTTATGCGGTAGACCAGTTGCCATCCAAGGCTATAGAACCCGGCCTGTCCTGCTATTTACACATAGCTCGGGGGAAAAGAGAATTCATACCTTTCCCAAAGGTATTAGTACGTAAATGAATATAATGGATTCGACTGGAATTGGTACTTGGCTCTCCGATTCCTCAGTCCTAGCTGTTATCCATTACTCCACCGTGCCTCAAATAACCTATATATATATATATATATATATATATATATATATATATATATATATATATATATATTGATATGCCGCTAAACAATATCAACAAAACAGCCGTAATAAGATTTCTCGAATATTTAAGCCGGTAAAAAAAAAAAAACATATACGGTTCAATAAATAAACGGATCGTCTACTTAAATATGAGCATCCACTAAAAGTAATGTTTAAATTGATACAAACATATATATTTATATAATCATTAGAGATGATCAAAATTTTGACGCATGTGCTTACCGATTCCTACCCATGATATCACTGGTTAGATCCAGAAAAAAACTGAACATTCAACAATATTGTCTGAAACGAGAAGAATAAGTTGCAGATACGGAAATTGTGAAATTATTGTAATTAACCAATGATTGGCATTATTTCTTGGGCCGCATTGATGATTTATAGAACTGGATGGTCTATGCAGTAGATACGACTTCTGGAATTAATAATGCTATTCCCGAATTTAAAATTTGATTCTCCACTAAAATGGTAAATAGTTGGTGTCAGTGCACTTCTAAAAGCCAGGACGTTGAGGAATTAGCGGATTTTCTAAATTAGATAATAAATTGATGTCAATATATTTTTCATACAAATTATAGTCGGTCAACTATAACAAGAACACACCAAATGACCCCGTCTTATTTATACTGCAGTTACGATCAATACTGTATTTCATTTGCTTTCTTTTCATACGTTCTCTTTCTTTCTTTCTTTCTTTTTCTTTTCTTCTATCAAACAGACTTTCTTTACTTCTTTGTTTATTTCTATCTTTTAAACATTTTCCCTTTTATTCATTTCATTTAGAGTACTTTCTCTTTTTTCTCTATTTAGTATTTTTAAACACTTTCTTTTTTGAGAATTACGTTTGTGTTTATTTTAGTATTTTTTCTTTATTCATTTGTATTTCATACATTCTTTCTTTCTTTCTTTTAAAGTTCTTTCTTTCTTTCTTTCTTTCTTTCTTTCTTTCTTTCTTTCTTTCTTTCCTTTCAATTTCTTTCTTTCTTTTGAAGTTCTTTCTTTCTTTCTTTCTTTCTTTTAAAGTTCTTTCTTTCTTTCTTCCCTTTCAATTTCTTTCTTTCTTTTGAAGTTCTTTCTTTCTTTCTTTCTTTCTTTCTTTCTTTCTTTCTTTCTTTCTTTCTTTTAAAGTTCTTTCTTTCTTTCTTTCTTTCTTTCTTTCTTCCCTTCCAATTTCTTTCTTTCTTTTGAAGTTCTTTCTTTCTTTCTTTCTTTCTTTCTTTCTTTTGAAGTTCTTTCTTTCTTTCTTTCTTTCTTTCCTTTCAATTTCTTTCTTTCTTTTGAAGTTATTTCTTTCTTTTCATTTAAACGTCTCTTTTAAATTTGTTTTAATACTTTGTTTTCTTGCTTTATTCTGATGTACATTAAACTCTCACTCTATCTTTATTTATTTATTTGAAGAGTCTTTTTGTATTTCTTTCTTGAATTTTACTATTTCTGCTCGTTACTTTGAAACGTTCTTTCTTTCTTTCTTTCTCAGTTGCTTTCATTTTTCCTTCTTTCCTATTCTTTCTTTTTTGCTATCTTTCTTTCTCATAAGCGTCTCTTTATTTCTTTATGAATTTTTCTATTTCTGTTTTGTGCGTGGATATATTCTTTCATTCATTCATTCTTTCTATCTATCTATCTATCTATCTATCTATCTATCTATCTATCTATCTATCTCAGTTGCTTTCATTTTTCCTTCCTTCTTTCTTTCTTTTTTCTTTCTTTCTTTTGTCGTGTTTTGAGAATCACTTTTTATTTCTTTCTTTTATAATCATGCTTTATTTCGCCATTCTTTTCTTTATCTCTATTTTTAATTTATATAACAAATTTTTCTTTCTTTTTCATTTTTTTTGTTTTAAACAATTATTTCATTTTTTATTTTATATTCCAATTCTTCTTTTCATTTCCGTTGAAACCCTTCTTTTTTCTTTCTTTCTTTTTTCTTTCTTTCTTTCTTTCTTTCTTTCTTTCTTTCTTTCTTTCTTTCTTTCTTTCTTTCTTTCCAGTTTTCCTTTTTTTCAATTGATTTTTAATTTTATTTCATTCGTTTCTTTATCTGTCTTCATTTATTTTTATACTTATTTCCCCAATCTTTTCCCTTCTCATTATTTTTATTGTATCTTATTTCTTTTTTTTTTATTTCTCCCCACTCCGTTTCTCGTAATTTATTTTTTGTTTCATCCATTTTGTTTGTTTCTTTCTTTTCAGCATATTGTTTTATTGTTTTTTTATAATCTTTTCTTTCTTTCAATATTCTTTTGTACTTATGAACACTTTTTTCTCTTTTTCCGTTTGTCATTTTAAACGTCTTTTTTTAATTTATTTAATTATCTGTTCATACTTTATAATTTTGTAATTTTAAACAATTCTTTCCTTCCTTCTTGATTTTATATTTTGCATCATTCATTTTCAAGGAAACTTTTCTTTTTAATTTTCATTATTTATTTTGTTTCTTCTTCGCCTTTTCTTTCTTTTTTCTTTCTTTCTTTTTTCTTTCTTTCTTTTTTCTTTCTTTCTTTCTTTCACATTAGTCAACAATATCTGCTTTTAGCCTCCTCATATTCTTTCTTTCTTTCTTTCTTTCTTTCTTTCTTTCTTTCTTTCTTTCTTTTACAGATGCACATTCACTTCTACACATCTCACAAAAAAAGCTTTTTTTTTTCTCATTACCCCCAAAGGAAAATAGTTAAAACCAAAACATTAAAAAGAAAGAACAAGATTCAACTTGATTTAAATCGTTACTTCCTTAACTTATTGCTCTTAAATTCAGAAGCAAATCATTTATTTTTTTCTTTGATTTCACTTTTCCCGCTACTTTTTCTTTTAAGCCAAAATGGAGGACAAGAAAAAAAGCTTCCCGTCGTCAGCGTTTCAAGAACTACTTTCCAACTTATTCTCGTCTCCTTTCTCTTTATTCTTTTATTTTGCTTCTACTCAAAATCTCCTTAGACCCCATACCACCTCCATCCTCTTCCTTCCCTCTCATCATTTCACTCCTCAACATTTCCTTGTCAGTGACAGTCGAGAGACTCGATCCATCATCTCAGATTCGGATCGAGCAGACGGCGAGAAAATACTTCCGGTTCCTATTCAGTTAGGCCTTACGAACTTCCTTTCTTTCTCTGATGACATTCCATGTTTTCTTTCCGTCTCTTTTGTGATTCTAGTGTTCTTTGCTTTGTTTTTCTTTGTCTGTGTTTAGTGGCATTCATTTCTATCTTAATTTGTCGACTTTTCCCTCGTTTCTTTCTCTATTTCTCATATTTCACATTTAGTCTTTAAATTCATAGCGTCATTATTTTCTTTTTCCTTATGGCGTATCCTTTTGCATTATCAGGTTTTCTTTCTCAGAATTCATTCTTTCTTTTGCCTTTTTTCTTTTGCTTTTTCGAGTGTACTCCTTTAATTTTTCATATGTTTCTTCTTTCTTTCTTTCTTTCTTTCTTTCTTTTGTCGTTCTTCAGTGTATTTCTTTATTTTCTTCATATGTGTGTTACGGATCGTACTTTCTTTCCTTCTGCCTTGCTTTCTTTTTTCTTTCTATCATTCCTTGGGTGTTCTTTGTTTTAAGTGTTTTTGTTTTGTCTTTCTTGAATGCATTAATTTATTCATGTGGCTCCTGAATCTTTCTTCCGTTTTTATCTTTCGTTTCTTTCTTTTTTTCTTTCTTTCTTTCTTTCTTTCTTTCTTTCTTTTCATTTTACCATGCTAATTTTTTGTTTAATTTTAATTATTATCATGTTGTTAATGTCCTCCTCTTTCTTTCTTTCTTTCTTTCTTTCTTTCTTTCTTTCTTTCTTTTCCTTTTATCATATTAATTTTAGGTATTATCTTGTTGTTAATGTCCCTCTTTTTCTTTCTTTTTTTTATTTCACCATTATATAATTTTTTGTTTAATTTTAAGTATTGTCTAGTTGTTAATGTCCCCCTGTTTTTTTCTTTCTTTTTTCTTTCTTTTCATTTTACTATGTTAACTTTTGTTTAATTCTAAGTATTATCAGGTTAACGTTCCTTTCTTTCTTTCTTTTTTTCTTTCTTCTTTTTCAGCCTTTCGTTTTATTTTATATAACATTTTCTTTCTTTACGTATTCTTTTGTATTTATAAACGCTTCTTTCTCTATTTATGTTTTTAGCAAATTTTCCTTTTGGCCCTTTTTCTTTATTCCATTTTTTAGTTTTCTAAGTATTACTTAAAAAAAAAGCAATTTTAATCTTTCTTCTTGAATCTTTCTTTCTTTCTTTCTTTCTTTCTTTTGCTTGTTGAATCTTTATTTCTTTTGTTTTTCTTTCTTTCACTATTTTTGAAAAGCTTTCTCCTGGGTCTTTCATTCTTACCTCTTTCTTTCTGCTTTGTTTTTCACATAATTTCTACTTTTTGTTTTCATATGATTCAATTACCCCCTCCTTCTTTTCCCTCTCTTCATTTCCCTCTCCTTCTTTTCCCTCTCCTTCTGTTCCCGTCTCTTATAACCTCTCCGGTTCTATTCACCATCTCAACAGCCCACCTTCGTCAATTCGACCAATGAAAAGCCTTGAGTAGCAACACAAGCGGAACAGCCACGTAAACAAGCAATCATAATCAGAGGCATTTAATCAATTAATTCTTAATAAAGTACAGACGAGTCAAAGGATCTTCGCCTTCCTTCCGAACACTTTTTGCAATTTATTTTGCTTATAAAGAAGGAAGCATTCATTAGCTGATCGGAATCTTTATTAATTCGATTCTTCACGCAAACAGATTATTCTTGATGTCCAGCAAATTCGTTAACGCCATATCCCGTAAGGACGAACGTCGTCAGGATTCGCCATATATTCTTTTTCTTTTAAATTCTGTATGTTCATGATTCTTATAATGAAAGTAGTAAAATTGTTATCTTCACAATGTTGACTTCAGAGTTCTCCTTTTCGTAGACTCGTTGCCAAGTCTAGAAAACCTTATCAATTTAGCTATTTTGCCCATAGCTGGAGGGATAGAAATCTTTTCCTGCGTTTTCCAAAGTCATTAGTGCGAAGTAAACACAAACTGTCTCATCCGAAATTGAATTCCTTAAACTGATTCCATTTTCAATTTTCGAGGAATTTGAGTATTAGCTTACACACACACACACACAAACACCAACACACACACACACACACACACACACACACACACACACACACACACACACACACGAAAACACACACACACACAAACATATATATATATATATATAAGACAAAAGGAAAACTCATTCATATTGCCCACTTACACATATTTTTAGTTATATCTTAAATTTTACACAAAACAATCGCGCACACACACACACACACATCTATCTATCTATATATATATATACACATACATACATATATATATATATATATATATATATATATATATATATATATATGTATATATAAATAAAAAAAAAAAAAGAAAGAACAGTAAGATATATAATCCAATGTTCTTATAGATATTTTATTTTTACAAAATAGTGCTCAATGTAAATTTACAGAGCATTAATATTATAAATTAATTGATTTAAAATATGCTTTTTCCCGCTACACAGTTCCAACCATGTTTCAAAAATGGAAGCTAAATTAAATTAAAGACATTAGTTCCATTTCCTCCTCAATCGAATTTTGGAGTAACTTTTAAAATTACTGGGTTTTAAAGACACAGCTAAAATCATATATATATATATCGGTTGTCTGAGTTTCGTGATTTCTCCTTCGTCAGGACTTCAGGACTTCGGATACAGAATGTCTATTTAAAAGTTTATATTTATAAATTTTAAATAGAGCTTTACAAAAAAAAAAAAAAAAAAAAAAGGCCAGGATATGTAGCTAAAAAATAATGCTATTATACTTGCTGATACTGATATTGAATTATTGATAATCTTTCTCGTCAGACACACACACACACACACACACACACACACACACACACATATATATATATATATATATATATATATATATATATATATATACCGGTTGTAACAGCAAAATTGGCCAAATCGTGTAACAGCAAAATTTTCCAATTGTTAGATTAACATTTGAAACATTATACTTTAGAAATGATTAAAGATATCTTACTGAAATCCTCTGAATTTTTTTTATAAACCTTTTGGAGTTTACTTTGGGTAATGAGAATGTATAATTACTCTCCAAGCTTAACAGAAGAATCGTGATGGAATCGATCATAAATGAAATAAAGTTTAAATCTATATATTTTATTTCAGGATCATTTCCCAACTTATTTAAGATGGTCTTCGCCCTCTCTAACCTTCTAACTTTCTGTCCTGGAGTAAAAGTTGCCTTACAGGTTTCACGTACGATTTCATTTTTAAATCTTTTTATCTTCTTTTTGGAATGCCGTAGGTGAAACTCCTCTCTCACATGTATTGGATCTTTTCTAATTAATCTATTTAGCTCTAACTTGATATGATCATCCCTCCTCCCGTTGTGACCTCCGTTTTCCTCTCTACTCTTCCCTATTTTTTTTACCTTATTCACTGTTCTCGTGATGGTTCTTGAATGGACTTTGCTGATGGAAGCCATAGTATGGATGTTGGTACCATTACTGAAGGCCTGATTGATCCTTTTCCACTCACCATTGCTCACTAGGAAAAGTCATGTAGGGTGACAGAAAGCGATTTTGACTTGTTCTCTCTCTAGGTGAATAACTCAAAGGGTTTTTCAGTTATTCTTACGAAAAATGGTGTCAAGATAGCTAAACGTCATATTTGAAAAAAGAAATTTAATTAGTTTAGTGTTTTTTTTGTGGGATGGATAGCGAATCAGAATCGATATACCACCCCTCGATCACATATTCCGTGGTGGAACTCATCCGAGTTTCCCTTACCCATAGGATTGTGCCCCCACGAGCCACGACTACTATCCCCAAGCCGCGCCATGCTGAGCATTAGAAGCCGGTTCAAGCAAGGATATACAAGTGATAGAAATTATTAGGAGGATTTGAGATAATTATTATTAAGTAATTCATCGAGTCGGTGCGCACTGCTGATGAGTCCCAAATATAGGATGAAACGGCCGTCCAGTGCTTTCTGCATTCTGTTGAGGTTTCTTCTAGACTCGATGAATTACTTAATTATAATTATCTCAAATCCTCCTAATTTCTATCACACACACACACACACACACACACACACACACACACACACACACACACACACACAGACATATATAAATATATTAGGAAATGGATTAAATCCAACATATATTTATTTTTAATTTTTTTTGTTTAAACTTCATTTTTGATGGGTACTCATATTTGAGTAGAAGCCCTGTTTTTTTTTTAATTAAACAGTATTTTTTTATCTTATTACACTTGCTTGAATATTCAGTTTGATTTGATTTGGTTTGTTTTACAGCATATCAACCTCAATGTGTTATTTAATGCCGACAAGATTTTTACTGCTGGCAATATTTTTTCCAAAAATATATAGCTAGTAATACATTTTCCTTCAAAAATGTAATACTGGTAATATCTTTTATCTTCAAAAATGTATTGCAGGTAATAATTTTTTCTCAAAAACTTGATTGTTGGTATTAAAACCTATTTTTCACTTTCATAGTGTTTTGACCTAAATTTGGGGGTTAACTATTTGCCTATAGTTGGAACCCCAACAGGTGCTACCACCCCTGGTCAGGGTGGGCCTGGGAACACCAGCAATTAAGAGGTGGTTCCACGTTCCTCAAAACCTCCTGATTAGAGGCCTTGCTGTTGGATGTAGTTTATCGTCTTACCCAGGACAGTTGAATATTCGGTAAGTCAGAAAAATATGCGTCCTCTGTGAAGATTTCTCGAATATTCAGGCCGGTAGATGAAGTTGGAATAAAAATACAGTTTAATTAAAAATTAAGTTAACTGGTCGAAATCAATGCGGGACTATAATGATATAAAACATTCATTCATCCTTAGCACTCACACTCACATAGACCCACACTCAAAAAGACACAACAACAAATACGAAAAGCACACCCGAAACGAAACGCATCCTCCAGAGAACTGACATCACTGACCACCTAACATGGGAGGGGATAGGGAATTAAACTAAAAAAAAGTAAAGAAAAAAAAAAGAAAGAAAGAGGAAAAGAGATCACAACAATTACCATGAAAGTACAGTGTAACCCGGATGTAAGAGAGTTGTCGGGACCGGAGACGAAGTCTCTTATATCCGGGTTTCTCTTATATCCGGGTTTGGTTTATTTTGTTTAGGTAAGTATGGGCTCTAATTTGGGACCAGAGAAAATCTCTCTTATATCCGGGTTTCTCTTATATCCGGGTCTCTTATATCCGGGTTACACTGTATTTATAGAAAAGACACTGGGAAGTGGTAAGGTGACTGAAACCGAGATGCCAGATCAGGACAAATAAAGTTGCAGATTCTTCTTTGAATTTTATTAAGAATCTCTAAATGTATAGCAGGATAATATGTTGCTGGCCAACCTGTTCTATCTAACTTTTTCTCGCTTCCGCCAAGAAACGAGAATTACTACGATATCACCAACTGGAAGAGTAAAAAGAAACCTATTTAAACTATTTACATCGTTCGGACTTCTCACCTTTTTTGCTATATTCACAAGGTTTCGGCTGTTTATGCTCCGGCGTTCTTCAGATAATATAAGATGGGATTCCGAACATTTTATTTAGTTGACGGGGGTAGATTTCTTTAATTCCACGTGCCATGCGTTTTTTTTTTTTTT